GACTCTTCTTCCACTGCTGCGGCCTCCGTGGACTGTCCCTCCCACAGCTACCTGACGCTTCTCTTCCACTGCTGCGGCCCCCCTCGCGGGGCTCCTCGTCCAATGCTACCGTCCCCTCAGCTCGGGTGACATCCCTTTCCAGCTGTCCTAGGACACCTCACCAGCGTCCTGCCCCACTGTCACAACTATTTCATAGCAGAATTACACAGAAGAAACCTATAAACATGCTGATTTTAATGAAAAGTCCAAAGCAGGCTCCCCCCCCCATGAATGCTTCCATATTAATCTAAAAAAAAAAAAATAAAACAACCCAAAGAAAAACCTTTGACATCCTTGGCAGCGAATCGTGAATCTACACCGAAGGCATCACTTCCACTCTTCGTAACTTTTTGTTCTTCACCTTTACTGCCTTTTTCCTTGACTCAGGTTACACACTGCTCACACTTACAATAGGGCAGACTCCAATATGGATATTCTTCCTGATACGCTTTGGATGCTGTAGGATTTCTCGTTCTGGCTCACAGATACAGACTACATTGGGGGTACAAGGGAGCGTATTTCAAAACAAAGGTATGCCATTTTTATCCCCGATTGATGGACAAATAAGCATGGAAAATGCTATCTTTTTTAAAAATTTAGTAAGACAGCTTCTTTTGGGGTGGGTTAGTGATGCAAAATGCATGCAGGACAAGAATCAACACACACAGTTGCACTTAGCATTTACTGAGCAAAGTAATTCTCCAGGCCTCAAGACAGTGGCCTTTGCAATGATCATATGGAACACAACGAAACAATCACACTCGCACCAGGAGTTAAAAAAACCCGTAAATATTGTACAAGGGCTTATGTGAGTGGGTGCAACGTTTCGCTATTGCTGTGAAAAGCCCGCATGACCCAGTAAGTTTTGTTGATAAAGGATAAAAATAATTCCAGAAATCGTAAGGATTAGATAATACTATGTAGTATATTGCCCACAATTTGACTGACTTTTATTTTATGATCAGTAAATACCTCAGCTTTTATTTAGCAAAAAAACCCAACACAGTCCTTTGTCTGTTACTTCTCTGTACTAGTTAGGCCAAATCCTGTGCTCAGTTAAACCAGCAAAACAGTAAAAAATTAAAGCATCTCCATTAATTTCAGTGTACAACAGAATTACTAGCAGAAAAATCTAATCCAAAGTACATATAAATAGTTAAACTGTTATGTAAAAGAAAACCAAAACCATTTGGAGTTTTCAAGGCAAGATGACCAATTAAAATGAGAAATGCTATTTTGAACATCTCCTTTGCATTATCCTTTTAACCAGGGAACATCATCAGACAGCAACTATGATAGTTATAACTGAACCTAAGTCCTGTCAGAGTAGTTAACTAACTAGCTCCACGAGGAGAAAAAAAAAAAAGAAAAAAGAGTTTTATAAAATGTTCTCTTAAATTCAGAAACCTGACATGCAGGCTTCTGCCAATGCTAAGTATTAGGAAAACATACTGAAATCCCAATCTCAATTAGCTAGGAAAACTCTTTTGCAAGTTCTTTCACAGCCATTTGTGGTTATTTCACCTTGCAAATAGTTCCCGTGTACCTTAAAGATCTTATGAGACCAAAAACATTTTCTTTTGTGTGCCTTGAATTAGTAACTCATTGCAGTTTTCAGATCAGGTATTCCATAACTCAGTTTTAAAGGCTGAAGAATGTGGAGTTTAGATATACAATTAGGCTGATTTATCATATTATGTTTTACATAAATTTTGTAAACCACTGAAGAAGAGGGGTTTTTATAAACATGTAAAGAGCTCCCTTAATGCCTTTAAAAACCTGTCCTTATAACTCAGTCCAGGAAACGCTGTGCAGGAATTACTCCCATTAATTTTAAAATCAGTAGATATGTCAGAGAGACCTACAAATATCCTGGAAATGTGAAAAACAGAATAAAAATAAGATTAATTTTTTCTGTAAATTGAATACTGGACCAGAATGAAGATCACAGAAGGAATTAGCTTGCCCAGATTCAGTATCAACATATTGCCTTTTGACCCACACATTTGCCAGACAGAAAAAAAAAAGCTTACGTATTTTGTTCCAAAACCACATATATAAAAATTAACCCCCTCCGATAGTAAATCTGCAGGCATATTCTTCCCAAGTGGTCTGTCATCCTCATCTGTGATCAGTGTTGCGCATGACTTCCCTTCTACTGCTGCTGCTGCTTTCAGCTCCTCGCTTTTCCACTACTTTCTTCTCCCAAATAAAGCTCTACTTTCAGCTTCATTCTAACCTTGTCATAGCTATTGTAATAGAATAAAGAGCTATTTCATACTGCTTTTGTGCAATCCAGAGCGAATTGGAGCCTCCATTTTAACACAGGAGCTTTGTAAGCTTGCGAAGCCAAAACAGGGCTATTTTAAATAATCCTTCACTGATGGAGACAACTGCAGAGCACCTGGGAAAATGGCACTCGTACCTAATGGAAGAAGAGAAATAGTGTTATTCATGTGTTCTAAAGCAATGAACTCTAAATGCAATACAGACTAAGATCAAAAAAAGATAAAATAGATGGTAGGACTTTGTAGCTGAAGGATTCTTCAGGTACACTGACTCAACCTAAGGACTCTTGGGTAAAGAGATTTGTCATGTTGCACGGATGCACAGTTCTCCTTTGCTACCCAGCAGTTAGGTGTCTGCCTTCTGGAAATTGCTCTAAGAGGGTTGCGATTCATACTTTACCTGTTACATGTTCCCAAAGAATTAACCTGTAAATCAAATTATTCACAGAGAAGTTGAAAATTTAGGAAGTCTCAGCATGTATTGCAATGCCTGAATCAGCTGGAATATGAAGGAATAGTTTGGGGGATATAGAAGGACATGCCAAGAAATGCGTTCAGGCAAAATGTGTGCACTCCAGATTAAAAGCCAGAATTTCTTATGCTATGGGCAAACCAAAAAGGATTAAAAATTTAGCAGAATATTTCTGGATGGGTTTTGTGGGTTGTGGGGGGGGGGGGGGGGAAGGCAATAGATTTTGGGTCAGCTTGAAAGTAATGCTTTCTTTTGGGAGTTTTTTGGCCTTTTTTTTTTTTTAATTTGGACTACTGAAGAGTTTCCATAAAGGTCCAAATTAAGTTAAACATTTTCTTCTTCTTTTCCCCTTTTTTCTGTTAATGTAATATTCCACAAAAAATGAATATGCTTTCATAATGTACACTATGTAGATTATGCGCTGTGTAATCACAGTTCTGCTCAGGACTCAGCACCTAAACTGTGCAGCAGTTCAATTCAGTCTGTTCACCACCACTGAGACACGGCCAGAGCTGGATCAACTGTCGCTCACCATTTCCAAATGAGCAACCTCTGACTAGAATGGTTTGCCTTTTTTTTTTTTTTTAAAACACAGTTCGCCAAACCCTTAAAAGATGCAGCTTTAATGTTCCATCTAATGCCTTAGCCTTACAAAACAAGATTTTTTTTATTCCATTCATACTCCAAGTAAGAATGTCTCCATGAACAATAGTTCTTCAGAAAAACTCCATGTTGAGGCAAACCTGTAAGAACATTAATCATCAAAAGAACCACACACAAAAGTCTGGGTCTACTTCAAAGCAACGTTTGGAACATAGCATACACAAGCCTCAGCAGAAAAAAATATTATTTTCTAAATAATAAAAATATTATTTAGCATATTTTCCAGTTTGTTGCTAAGAAACTGTTGCTTCATTTTACTATTGTCATTTGCAGAAAATTTCTGATTGTTCTTTTGCCACTTTGGTCATCTCGTTGCAACAGCTATATAATTAAAAGGGGTATAAAAGAAAAAACACTGGAAATGTACTCACTGTGCTTTCATCATCTGTAAACTGGTCTCCCATATTCTCTCCTGTAACTTACTACCCTCCAATAAGATCTACAAAACCAAAAAGATTATTTTACAAGAACAGAGACAAGATCCTTACATTTGTTTTTACATAATATACAAAATTTGTAATGGTGCAATCACTGCATTCTTCATGTCTTTCTGTAAGAACTAGTAATGTTCTCCTCCTACAGTGTCTAATCTGCTACCCTCTGTCCAAAAGTAGTTAATAGCACATGCACAAAAGACAGAATAACAACAGAGCAAATAGCAAGTGCCATTTTTCCTCATATCTTCCAGTTATTTGTAGGATTTTTGACCTGAGAGTAGGATCTAATAGCAAATTACTTTACGAAGTTTAATTGAATTATTTTCTATTGTAAAAAAAGAACACTTTTTTTGCCCAGGTTTACTTTTTTTTCTTCAAATATCCACATAAAGCAGAATTTATTTACATTTTAGAAATAGGAACAATAATGGCAAAAATCTCAGTGCCGTCAGTATTTCAGCAGGGAGGTCTATACCATATTCTACCAGGAATTTTCTCAACTCTTCACAATGAGCAGGGAAGGGAAAACATCTCTGGAACCAGTAAGACATTAAACAATACTGGGCATGGTACAGGGACCGGAGCTCAATCTTTCACGCAGTGGAATCGCCAGTGCGGTCCCCAAGGCCAGCCTGCACTCTCCCACATGGTTCCCTGGGTTAGCGCCAGCCCAGACGCTCCCCCGTAGGCAGTAAGGATGCAAGCGCCCTAACTCGGGAGGTTAAGAGAGTTTACCAGTACGGAGGATGGTCTGCCTCAGAGCCAAAGACTGGCACTGCTATATTCATAACACAGAGGTAGCCGATGAGTCCGGTTGCTTGCTATGACAACCATGAACACTATCTGTCATACGCATGTCAAACTTTATATTAAAACTAACAACTTTTTGCCTTCAAGTATTCTTTACTCATTGGTTGCCATAGAAACTTCAGATTTCCTACCTAAAATTACTGTTGGCCAGTTTACCGAGTTTCTTCTTGTGCCAGTGTTGTCCTTTAAATTATTTTTCCTTTCCTGGTATTTAAAGACTGCAGTCATACCTGCTCTAATCCTGGGTTAAACAAGCTAAGCTCAGCATTTAGTCTTCGCTCCTAAAACAGGCTCTTCATTCCCCTGATCACCCTAGCAGTCCTCTCAGCATCTGCTGCAGTTTGACTTCACCTCTCTTGAATTAAGGTGATTAGAATATAGTACTGCAAATAAAAATTTCAGGGAAGTAATGCCTCCTGTGAAGAATGTCTGTCTGTACAGGAATTAGTTTACCAAATATACTACATTGGCAGCTCACAGTTATCTTGTGATCAATTGACACATGAGGTCATTCTCACCCACAGTGATCTAAAACTAATTAACTCCCATCTTCGTAGTATAAATTCTCACTATTAGCCTTAGCTGAATGGTGCTGCACTTTGTATGAGTAAATTCATCCAATTATCCTGGTCCTCGAGGTCCTTTCAATCTGCCTGATATCACAATTCCCCTCTGTATTAATAACTGTGTCATCAGCAAATTTAATATTGTATCACAGTTATTAATGAAGTAAGATTAGTTCACAAGACTTTAAGAAACTCCTTGAGTAAACTCCATATACCTGATAGGTTAATCTAACAATATACACACCAATGTGCTCCCCCAAATGAAACATGCATTTCCCCTCCTCTTTAGCCAACTCCTTTCACCTCAAAGTTCTCTCCTATTCCTTGTTATTAATCATTTCTCATACAAAAAAATATTTTGAGGATGTCCAGATAGATTAGATGAACCTTATTTTTCTGCCCAGAACACCAGTTACCCCATCAAGTGTCATGGCCTGACTTCTCATTTCCCCTTGGTTAACCAATACAGCCTTTTATTTAATTTCCTGTTATCTTCATAACTTCCTTTATCATTCTTCTCTTCAAAATACATTGAGGTATCTATTGCATCTGACTGCATTTGCAACGATGGCAAATGTTTCCCTCATCTTAAATGAAGGTGTCTTTGCTGTTCGTCAATCACACAGAAAAATCTTCACCCTCATATATCTGTACTTGGAAAAGTCTTTGCTATTATAACTGGAGTTAAATGTGCCAGTACTCTTAAATCTCATGCCTGGAGATTATCTTGTTCTCCTGGCTTTGTGAACGCATTAGCTGACGAAGCAGCACTATGTCTTTGACAAAGCATACTATATACCAAAAATGCTTCAGAGAGATAAGTAAGCAACTCATCTGTGAAGTTAGAATAAAGAACAAAGAGAGGGGAAAAAAAGGCAGCGCAGGCAAAGGGGTATATGTTTTCAAATGACGTTTAACAATAGAGAACTAATAAACTGGAGAAACATAGGAAAAATGTTCCAGAATGCTGCAGAAGACAGAAAGAAGAACCCAACCTAAAACTCCAGTTAACAAACCATCTCCCAGAGTTCTTATTTTTATGGTGCTGTGTCTTAAGATCCTGTCAGTGCTAGAACGATATTCCAGAACTTCTGAATATGAGAACAAAGGCCTCGAGCCCAAGAGAACCAAGATTTTACCTTCCCACTTCAGGACCAGGACGACGGGCCTCATCTGTCATGCCAGAAAAGACAGAAGAGCAAATTCTACAGCCTGCAAAGCACAGGAGGCATCAAGTACCCCACAGGCCAGTGGCTGCATGTTTTTCATGTGCAAAATGCACCATGAGTATTAATATAAATCACAGTATGGTGACATTCTTTTATTAGCAGTAATGGCTATTAAAATCAGTAGTTAAGCAGATACTGATCTTCCTGCGAGAAACAAAAAAACAAGAGAGAAATCAAAGAAATTGATTACTAAGTGAAAGCCTACATCAGTTGCTCACATGCAGATTCAACTGTTCCTGGTGCTGAATTCAGCTACCCGAATCCCAAAATTAAAGGTATCGGTCAAAAAGATCTCTGGCTTGACCTACCTTAGGAGAAATCTTTTATATTTTACAAAACATCAAAATATTAATTGACAAAACATAAAAATCTAGTGTCTAATACTGCACAGTACGGACCAAACCATGATCTCTGGGCTACTGATCTGCAGGACCGTAAGTTTACAGCTGGGAAGGACAGAAGGATCTGTTGTCAGCTAAAGTTCTGTAATAAAGACATCAAACCCCTCAAATTCTTTTGGGCCCTAAGACATATTGGCTTAAATCGTTTGGAAATTATTGATAAAATAATCGAATATGTAGGTACTGATGTGAGCTATGCAAGGATACAAATGGCATGACTCCTTAACTATTATTAATACGTTATTATCTTCAATTCACAGTTTCCTGGTATTTAAATAACTGTTGATCTAAAGAAGTCTTGGGGGGTGGGGATGGGAAGCAGACTTCTGCTTCCTTTATCATTGGCATTTTAACCAAGAGCTTGCCTTGTACTGTCAATAATGGACTTGTACTTACCAAGAGCGTAACAGCCAAATCTCTGGTAGGACACAAATGTGCACTTCTTGTTGACAAAGCCTTGTCACAACATACCAAAGCTGTGTCACTTCCAGGTTACAAAGGTTCCGGAAGATTAATGTTATTCTAAAACTGAGCAAATGTTTAGTTCCCTTTGTTATCCCTTTTCAAAGCAACTCAGAAAATTAATGCCTCTTGTACAACCAGTTCATGCCATGGCAGCAAGAAGAGTTGGCACCTCTATGTAGGTGAGACTGTTCTGAACCTCCACGCTCATTACAAACAGGCACGTGTCTTCTTTCAAATTAAGATTTAGGGCCTCTAATTCAGTCCCTTAGTCTATAAATAGTATATAGAGCTCAATACTGATCAAGAAGAAAAGTCAGCTGAATCCACAAATGGATTCTTGAGAAAAAAAACAGAATATTCCTATGCCCTGTAGAAATATGTCCGTAATTACATTAAAAAGTGTAATTCAACATAATTTGGCAAGTCATTTCCCTGTAAATCTTTATTTCAGGACAGAGCTGTAAACTCTGAAACTATGTAAGGACAGATCAGTGGCTAAGAACTCTCCTGTCCAAATTTTTTTTTTTTTTTTTTACTCTTTATTCGGGATCAGCATTAAGTCAGCCACACCAGAATTTGAGAGTAATCAGTTTCTTTTGCTTCTGCAAATTTGCTTTTGCTAATAACCAGTAAAATAAAAAGAGATAAAGTGGAAAAATTGTAAACTAGCAAAATTGTCACTTATAAATTTGAATCTACGCAACCTGGAAGGAAAGAGACTTTTAATGAAGGAATGCATAAAGACTGCTGAGACCCCTCATTGAACTTGACCATGAAGATGCAGTCACAGCTCCTATCAGCGAGCTAGCACTATCAGTCATCTCTGGACTCCAGTCCAGTACTACATAAATAAGGTTTACTAGTTGAAGCGTTAAAGCTACCGTATCAAATCCTGCTCTCTGAACTCACTTTGGGACTCTCACTGATTTCAACTAATTTCTTACAGAATATGAGGACAAAGCATCAAATGCTCTTTAGCCTTGCTCACATGAGGATACGAATTGGAAGCAACTCCTCATGTTGCGCATTGGCAGATCATTAATGATGATCACCTGGAACTGAAACTGTCCTTGAAAACATTTAATATGCTTATTTCTGCCCTTGGCCTTAACACATTAAAAAAACCCAAAAAACCACAACCCTCCATTTTCCCATCTTCTCACAGAACCAAGAAGCACCTGCAGATACCACAGAGAATAAATAATTGTAATTGTTGCTGTAATTGCACATTAATCTACTGTCCTGGCCTCTACCACCTTGAAACCTCCTGTTTTTTCTTCTCTTCCCCATGTCTCATAGCAAAATAAGCTGTTCAGAGCATGTGCCAATCTTTTAGCAGAAATAAAAATATTCCATTATTGTAGTATATCATCTATGACGTCCTCTTCCTACACAAAGATCAAGCTGCAAAGAGCACTTGATCACACAGGAGAAAAAATCATGCTGTGACCTCAGTGGTATGCTTGCTTCTATAGCTATTTGCAACTCATCTCCAAATTGCATTACTTTACCCACAATACTCTTCTAAACAGGGAATAATAAAGAACACATCAACACATAAGCAAGCGTGAGTAACAAGTTTTTTAATTGAATGAGCAATGCTGATGACATTCAACCTTAGCTGCTAATTTTAGAGTTGAAATTTAAGAGGCCCTTTATGCATTCTTTCTTAAATGATATGTATTATGCACACAATAATACACAAATGAACTATAGAGATGTTGATTATATTTTGAAAGAAAATTTTCAGCTGCAGGAAGGTAAACAAATTTTCCTATTCCTTCTTTGTCAGGGCTGCAGCAGTATGTCTAATCTACATTTTAGTATTATTTATGCAAAGTACCATAGCTACTAATGTACTCGTGAAAGATAAAGGCAGTGCCCGATTACAAAAAAAGGTACGTCCTCTTCCACGCTGGTGCAGTAGCTGTCACGACCAGCACTGTCAGCCCAAGGGAACGGGAAGCCACAGCTAGCCTGCCGTTTGCTTTCTTTAAAATGTAGGCTGCAGTAAGAATTTAGGTTGATAGTAACACCAGCAAGCAGACGTTACTCTCCAGTAACCCAAGAACTGGAAAGAAGAGGGAGCATCCTCATTCCTTCAGTTTAGTTGCCTACACGTTGGAAAGCTTGTCCCCTTAAGCTCATCATATAGCCAAATGTAGAGGGAGTCTAGAGCACTCTTAGGGGCCACGTTAGAGCACCTAAATTAAGGCCTTGCTGAGAACCACCCTCGCCCTTGACTAGCACGCACGCTTTACCTCCGGGAGAAACAGCAGGCGCCGGCGGCTGCACAGCACCCCTCAGCACGGCCCCGCCCGCAACACCGCCCTCCGCCCCCCCACTCCCCAGACAGCCCCCTCGGTGACGG